CAAGCATTGAGCCATTAGCATGCCTGACCATGTGCAGCTATTTGTTTACTGTGATTCAGATAAAGATAACTGGTAAAACAAGCTCTCTGTGAGCTGTTTTTGTCTGAGAACCCTGCAGTACTTTCTCCAAGCTGCCATAGAAACACGCTTTGACATGTTGCATGCGCTTGTTTTTCTTGAGAAAGCTCATAACACATGCTAAAGCTGTGGCACTAGCGTTTGTGTGTGTGCTTGTTTCCTGGAATGTGACTGTCTAAATGATTAATTTAGATATTCAGATCTGTCAAGATTGTTAGCTCACCTTATGACTCACATTCAATCACTCATCAAGGTTATTGTAACAGGTCAGCATAAAATGTGTTTGCAAACAGCTCTGAGGGTGTGTTCATTTGCTGTCTGTTGCTGTACCCTTGTATGTTATAGGTGAAATGCTTTTTCATGCTATGCTTAGACCAGTAAGAATTTTTAATGCTGGCCTAGTTTCTGCTGGTTATTGCTGCAATCATGCTAGTCTAGCTGGTAGATTTTTATAGTCATGTTATCAGACTAGCTGGTAATGGTGGTTCTTAAAGATTATTTTGGGGAAAAAATGCTATTCCACTTGTAAAATTTGATTATTTTGATCATATGCAAAATTAAAACAATTCTTACAAATTCTTGTTTACACAGCTTTTTAGTGACTTTGATTCACTAAAGATTTGGCTCATAGGAGTAATTTGTTCTGTGATTGAGCTGTGAGAGTCATTTGTTTGGGAAACGAACTGCACTGGTTGCACTGTATGTGTTTGATTCACTAAAAAGAACCAGCTAATAAGAGTCATTCCTTCTGTCATTGAACTGCTCTGTGTGAATGCTTTTGATCATTAAAAATATGTTTTTACAGTATTTGTTTGGGAATTTACCTGCACTCGTTATACTCTGTGCTTTCGATTCACAAAAAAGAACTAGCTCACTAGAATTAAATGATTGATAATTAAATTTGATTCACAGAACCACTAAAGTATTTAATTCAGTGAATCAGACTATGCTTTTACTGTATGTTTTGACCTGTTCGACATTATCTGAATGGTGTGATTTTGGAGTCGGTGGGAATAAGTTTAAGTGTGTTGTTCTGAAAACTTGTTTAAAAATGCTCCACGCTAGTGTTTGATGGCACAGAAACCACACCTGATGTGTCTGTGTTGACGTCTTTAGCCTATTTTCTGCTCAACGTCCCTGCAGCTTTTCAGCAACAAAAGATGCCTTACAGCTGTACACAATGTTCCAACTTCAGTCTTCAAACATCTTTCATACAACTTCCTTCTGTTAGACGCGCACACAGATCCTTTCCATCCACACGACAAAGGGCAACCCGCCCAGGGCAGAACCTATTCATTATAACCTTATATGCAACCCATAATCCTCTGTTTTGTTGCCGCTGCATACAATGCGTGAGCCCCAGCGTGATGTGCGTCCACAGTTAAGCCCCTCTGGATACGATCTGTCCCGTCCCTCCTCCAAGCCAGTCTATGCGGGCCAGTAAATAACAGCAAGGTTAAACACCTCTTGCTCACCTCCTCACTGCGATGAGCGAAAATAGGGAGAGAGAGTTTTCCAAGGAAGGCTGGAGATGAGCCTTGGCGTGAATAAGGATGGATGGTGAAATGAGAGATGGGAATGATAAATCGTGCTTTGGAAGTGCCTCTCCTTTATGTAAAAGAGGTGCTTTCAGACCTGACACAGCCATAAATCAGACATGGACTTCTCGCTCTAATTTCATTACAATGGCAGGCGGAAAAGCGCACAAACACACACTCTTTCTCTCACACTCAATATGGGTTAAGCTGTCTTGGGGTCTGTGTTTAGGCCACAGGGGGTTCTGTAATATTCACCTGATGGGTTTGTTTTTCTCCTTCATAGTCTTTTAACAGCGGTGCTTCATCTGTCACACCTCTTTTCCACACAGTCTGTGAAGTGCAAAATCTGGTAACACTCTTTCTCATTTGGATTTTAAAGCAGTCATTTTAACCAGATTGTGCATGTTGTCTGAATGAAGCACTAATTATTTATTAACACTATTAAATGTTATCTTAAGCAAATCTCAAAGTGAATATCCATTTTCACACTGTACATTATATGTTGTGATGCCTAATATTGTGATGCTTGTGACATTTTAAATTTATTTATTTATTTTTGGGCTGTCAAATGATTAATCACGATTAATCACATCCAAAATAAATTTTTTTTTTACATAATATATGTGGGTGCACTGTGTATAATTATTTTGTATATATATAAATACACACACATGCATGTATATTTAAGAAAAAAATATTATTTATATATAAAATATTTATATTTATATATAATATAAATTATATATAAATCTATATACCGTATATACATGAAAATATTTCTTAAATATATACAAGCATGTGTGTGTATTTATATATATAAAATAATTATACACAGTGCACCCACATATATTATAATTTATAGCCCTAATTTATTTATTTTTCATTCAGGAAAAAATAGTGTAGTGTTTAAATATCATTCATTTATCGGTTTTCTGTAACATGCAATTAATTATTGACTTATTTGCTAGAAGTTTAATAATGGTGCATCCATACACGGGATAGTAACAAATGTATTTGCATACTGGTTTTCCTTTTTTTTTTTTTTTTTTTTTACCACCTGCAAAAATCATAAGTTAACGTGATAGCATAGCTCTCCTCAAACAAACAACTTAAAGGGCATATTGCAGGTTAGAGGACCCAATGAGTCAATGTATAGAAAAATAATGTAGGAACTAGATTTTCTTTAAAATATACTTATAAATACGCTACAGAAGCTTCTGGGGTCGTTTTTGTAAGAAAATTTTACTTCCACGTCTGAAAATGGGCGGGAGAGCGGTCGATTCAAACAACAGGAAAACAATCGCATGACATTTCGGACGCTGAGGAAATACTTACTCGTATGACGGACCACAGCCATACAATTATGAGCCTGCTATGCTGCCAAGAGAGCAGGACAGGCCAGGACTAATGGCAGACAGAACGGTCAGAGACACCATGAGTTGTCGAGTGAGGAGAACCAGTGGAGAACAGGACAGGTGTCTTGGTGAGAGAGACCGGTGTTAGCTTATAGATACACGTTCGCTAACGATATACACTGTGCTCACAATATTGTACAGATTATTACCATCGTATATCAGGCCAGCAGACATGAGTATTTTTAGGGTAGATTTATACTATTAAATGTATAAAAACTATACTTGAGTATATTTCTATTGTAGCCTACTAAAAACCCACCCAAGTACATTTTTAATACATATTTTTAACCTGGGTTATAACATAAACAGAAAATTAAAGATTTGAATATTTAAACAACCTGAGTAATTTTGTTTTTCAATTACAAGTTGCCTCTATTTAGGGCATGACTACCTATATCACACTATTTCATGCCAATGGTAGGCCTACAGTATTAGACGATCAATATGTTTGCTTCGGCATCCCATGTTGAACTCCATCATATCGGCGGGATGATAATCCTCCGATCTGAAGTGAACGCTACACACGACCGTGTTTTTCGAAGCCGATGTGGAAGAGAAATCCGTCTCTTCACCTGCACAAACTGCACCAGGCACGAAAGATATAGAGCACCGTCCCTTTTCTTGTTATGGAAACCTGTGGACTCGATGTCCTGACACTGCCTGACAGGCCTGAGTTTTTGCAACCTCCACAAACAATAATTTACCATGACGATTATAAATTAAAATAAAAAATCTACCGAAAACACACTGACTCACGGCCGCTCTCACTGAATGCCAGCCTACTCTGCACTGAGCCGAGGCTGAGGCTCCCTGACTTGACGTAAAATGACGCGATTTTGAAAAAAAAAGCCGTTTTTACCAGCAGTCCAAGAAACGCTCACTTTATCTACTAAATTAGTGCCCTTATGTCGTTTTAAAACATTTTAAATCCTGCATTAACTTTTCATATGGTATTTTCATACAAGGTTATATATTAATTTAGATTTTTTTTTACCTGCAATATGCTCTTTAATATAAGGTGTCGTGCAGAAGTTGAAAAACCTGTAACCCTAAGGATAACCAGTGGTAATATTGAAGCCTGCCTTTACTAGCTAACCCTTTTAGTCCAGTTATTCTGCAGTACATTATGGGTGTGAGACCTAGGTGTGGCGAAGTCGGACAAACTATGGTTTCAAAACAGGTTTGGGTTGATTTTGAGACTGAAGGGGTGTGTGTTTACTTGCGTGCAAGTTATGTTTGTCTTTCTTTTTCTCTGTCTGTAGCCTAAGTAAATGACTATCCACCTTCAGGTGGGAGATGCTCACGTACAGTTGCGCGTGTCCTCTCTGTGGGAGGCGCCGAGGGCTCCAGCTGTTTTGGCAGATAAGCTGTTGTTGACAAGCTCCTGGCTTCCCACCGTGCATCGGCGGAACAGAGCAACCACTGTCACCACACACTCTTGCAGTTAGCCAAAAACACACTCCCAGCGAGCCAACCTACACTATCATGGTAGACTGTCCACCCGCTCTAAAACTGTCCACACAGCACAACGTGCACGATTCGACCCCATAAGCCCCGGTTACTGTGGTTACCTAATTACCTCTTGGTCCCAGCACACTGGCCTGTACGGAACGTAAACAACTATTCAGCGGAAACTCGCTCACAGCTTTTCAGCATTAATGAAACGTACACACGCAATCCTGCGACAATAATGATTCATACACAAGTATCCCCACGGCCTTGAACATAATTGCATTAATGAAGCCCGGCGTTTCCTCTGTTATTTTCCTCGCTGATCCAGTGTCGGATGACTCAGACTGCCATGTTTGGCAAACGGTGAAAAGCTCTCCCAACCTGTCCGTCCATCAGGGCGTTCCACAACTGTCAGCTTTTAACTCAGTAATCACTGCCTGAATCAGCAGAGAATGTTTCTGTCAGATAGCACTGACCAAGCATCGCTGTCAGCTCAGGTAAGAGAGCTGCTGAAGCGTATCCACTGCCGAACGGGAGGCTTGGGACATGGTTGGTCTTCTTCCAGCTTATGAAACCTTCAGACTCAGTGAATTACACTTTTGAAGTGTCCTTAAACCAGATTGCAGATGCCGTGGGGTCAATGCTCGGACTGCAGATGGAAAAAATTGGAAATGATAAGAGATGGTGGTCACCCATCTGGACAGAAGAAATTGTGTTGAAGGTGAAACCGAGGTAAATGTTGGTGGGTGGGTGGTGAACCACGTTCACTTGATGGCAGTGTTATTTACATTGGATAAACAATTGTTTAGCAGGCTTGGTGATTCAGAAGATGTGTGCTTGACTAGTGGTGAATAAAAGAGGAACTATTCGTAACTTACACTTTATAATCACTTTCATTTATGACTCATTAACAAACATTATTGCATTTTTATGTATATTCAATTGGTTAGGAATGTCATGAAACTTTTGATTATATTTTCAAATGTGTATATTTAAAAAATGAGTGAATTTGAGCTGTTTAGCATTACAAAGTGTTGCATAGCCAGAATTTGACTGCTAACCAGGGTTATTAATGTTGACTAAAACTAAAACCATAAAAATTATATTACTTCAAATAAAAAAAAACTTAAACTTATTTTATTTCAGATAGTTTTCAGTCGTAAGCTTAATTTACATATAGTCGGAATCAGATTTAGAACCAGAAAACATACTTTATGTAGTTTAAAAAAAAGACTGGACTGTACTAGATTGTTTGACTTGTATTTAAAGTAATCACTAACAGTTTGTTCTATTTTTACATTAGTTAAGGGTTTGGCAAACTGCTTAGAACCAGATTAGAGCTTGCCAGATTGAGAAAGTTCTTGTTAGTCTGACACTAACCATTATATCATATAAACAGAAAAGGAAGTTGTTGTGCCTGTCCCTATTAGTCTTTACGCATAGCAAGCCCAGCTAACTCACTGTAAAGTCCCAAAAACAGGCAACGATCAGTTTCTCAACATAATATATATGTATAATCTCAAATCTCTCAATTTACTGAATGTTCAGGACGTTCTGTTCCAAGACTGGATTTATAAGATTAAACAAGGTTGACTGCGTCTTGTGTGTTTACGCATGCTAATTTAGCTCCATCGTGCTGCATTCATAGGCGTTTGCGTGTACAAATCTGTTGGCACGAAGATGTGTTTTTCTTTAGATGCTAGATGGAAAGAAGCAAAACTCTCATTTCAGGCATCACTCGCTCAGACCTAGCCTCCAATGTGTGCCATTCAGTTCATGTTTACACAGTCCACCTTATAAAAGAGCCCCTCACATGCCCTACTGCGACGCTTTGGATGTAATCGGACCATTTAAGATTCCTGTTTCTCTGAGTAGCAGTTGTTTTTGAAGAGGCTTATCATAACTGAGCTAATGAAGAGATTACGGCCCGTATAGACCAGGACGATGATCCGAAATGATCTTTTCTTTTGAGGGAAAATTGAAACGCATTAGTGTTGCACGAAAGGAGCCGAATCTCTCACTCTTCTTCTCTCTTTTTCTCTCTGTATTGATCGGTTTTAGTGGATTTTTGGTGGCATTTGCTCATTGCTTTCTTATTTCAGAGTTTATTGGATGACAACCACCACACGTGTTTTGCAATCGAAGAAAACGGCAAAGCCTTGAGAAGCTGACCACATTCTGCTTTTTCTTTCCAACTATCCACGTTCATACAGCTCTCTAACCCATTTCTCGACAATGTTTCTTTGCTGCCAAGTGTTCAATTTAAAGTTGATTTGATTTAGAAAAAGAATTTGAGAAGCGGTCTAGTCCTTGTGCGCAAACTATTTGTTTTCTGGGTGAAAGGTCATTTTTCTGAGGCCTGTGTGTGGCTGTAGAGATAGCTAATCCTGGAATATCCTTTATGAACCATTTTTTTTTTCTATAAGCAGCTGTTTTCAGTGAAAGATTTTCACTGTAAATCTACTCAGCTGTCGTCAAAGAGGGTGAAAAATACCTGAGCTAATCTAAAATCCAGCAGCAGTGACGGTGAAATCCCTCAGAGCTCTCTAGTCAATAAGCACCACATTCTGCAGAGCAAAGCAGCTAATTTAACCCACATCTATTCTAGACCAAGTACAGCAGGATCTTTTTGTTCTAGAACAGTGGCCCAAAAAATGGACACGTAAGCCATACTTAATGTATGAATTGTATTTAGTTCAGTGTTTTCAAAACTTCTTTGTTTTATGTATCCTCACCCATCACTAAGAGCCTTCTGAACCAGAAATGTGTATATCGAAGTTACCAATACATTTTATCTCAAGCAGCTAATTTCCATGTTTTTACATTTGGATCTTTGCCGTCATCTAACGCTAACTAAAAGTTCATTAAAAACACAAATAATTTGTCAAATTTAGCTCATTTTAAAGTGAACATCTTGTTGTACATTATTCACTCTTAAGAAAACCAAATATAATACCCAATGTGTTGTGTTAATATGAAAGAAGTTTTTGTTTTTACCATTATTTTGAATTACGCGTTGTGTTTTAGGGTTAAAGGAAATGTCTGCAAACTTAACGAATAATGTTGTGATGCCAAAATTCACAATTCACAGCATGTAAAATGATTGATTTAGTTGATTATACTGCATGTACATATATTTTTCACAAAGAGATTCATACTCTCATATTACTTTTTTGTTCTTCTTTCTTTTTTGATCCTGAAAATGGCATGAAATGAATTTCCAAATTACACAAACAAATCACATTGAAATTATTTGATTTTAAAAAATCCTCAGAAAAGAGAAGTTTCTGGGAACTGCTCTAATGAGAAGACAATGCCAAAAGAGTCAATCATTTTATATATAGTGTAAAGATTTAAATGTTTAGTGTGATTTAAATGTTCAGAAAAGTTTTTTTGGTGCCACTGTACACTGTATTTTTCTGCTTTTGCTGATAGCAGAGAAGCACAAAAGCCTCAAGACCCTGAGCAAAATAGAGGATTCTGAATCTAAAGCCTTTAGTTCAGATGTTTAGAGAGTGGAAGAGACTGAACGGGTTGTTCTTTTGTATTCTTGTAAATACATTGAAGATGAACCTGCGATTTCCCACAAAAGAAGTAAAGTTTGTATTCAGATCATTCATATTTTGCAGTCAAGTAGCACGCAGCGTTCTCCTGCATCCTGCAGTCTTTTAATAAAGAGAGCTCCCACTGCTTTTTTTTTTTTATATACGTTGGCTGAATTGCAGAACATTAGCACTAGACATTTTCGTGTCATGTTGCAAGAGTCAGTGCAACAATATCTAATCGTTTAAAGTGTGGATGTTCAGATGTTGTGTTCAAGATTAACTCTTTCAAAGTTCATTGACATGGGAACCAGAGCCTGGTATAGCAGGACGGGGAGTGCTGACGTCCCAGTCCTTGTTGAAAGGTGTCCAACGATGGACTCCTAATCCTGGATTACCTGTGTGATGGTTGTAGATGGCACAGATAAGATGGAAAGGAACCATTGCTCTTTGTGTGGAATGGCTTAAACATGTTTCTCTCACACACATTAAATCAGGTTTTATGATTTTAGATTCTCTCTCAGCAGAAATACTTTTTTTCAGAGGCTAATACATGCAAAAACATAGAAATGCATCTGGTTACACAACAAATCCAATGGGCTTTAGTTTCTGTTTTAAAAAGCACAACAATTGAATGTATCATTTTAAAGATGAGTGAAATTTAAAATTTAAATATTTCTGTTTCTCTTTTCATCCCTCTATGAATGCGACTGCTGTGTGATTTTAGATGTGACATCCTCACTGATCAAAGTCAGATGTGTACAGTCTAGATCAGCTTTTGTCAGTCAGGCTGTGTGTGCAGTATACTATACTATTATAGTTTTATATATATAATATTTATTAGTAAGTCAAGACGCATTTTTTAGATTTACATGACCAGTTTTCATATCTGTTAAACCCTTTTTAGGAAAGGATTATTCATTTATACTACACTTCTTTTTGTTTTTCTTAAATAACATGTTGTCATATGAACAACCAGTCAGTAACTGGACTGATGTAAGTCTCACATATACGCCACAGTAATGGATCCTGTGGATTCATTTAGAATTGGACAACTGAAAAATCACTGACATAAATCGTGAACTCAATATCGGCTCTGAACGATTTACTGACAGAGTGACTCTGATTCAAAAGGCTAACTGTGTGAGGCTGTTTTCTGTGCATGATTTTCCCCCCCACTAAATTAGTTTACCGCAAACCCTGCCCCTCCCTCGGCTGTTTCATTGGTCAACAGTCACTAGTCAAAAAAGTTATGCTATATCTTATAGCATTATACAGTAATGCTTTCAGGATGTGCTACCAACACTATATTGAGGTTAGGGTTTGCAATCAGCACTATGATTGACATGACAAATGAAATTGGTTTCATTGTGACTGACTATTTAAAAAGAGCAAGTTTATAAGAGTGTCATTTGATTATAAATCAGTCATCAGAACTTGTGCTGTGTGTGTTTGGTACATAAAAGTTTGGCGCATACTCAAATAAGATAATATCAGACAAAACCACAAATGGACAAACACAAAAAGCTTTGACGTCTTTTCCCTCAATTTTATTATTGTCACTTTTTTGTTGCATTTGCTACCATTTTAGTTACTGTCGGGGGGCCCTGGTTTCCATAAGTGGTCTGTGTGGATTGAGGAGGTAACTTTTTTTATTGTGAACAATAGAGTATGTCTACTTTACTGTTTTCCATAATTTGTCCACTTTCAAACCTGCACCGAACCATTTTGGGGTCAAAAGAATACGCCACGTGGATACTCTAGAGTTTCGAGTAATAAAAGCACATTTTCAGTTCCAACTACTGTACGTGAAAGTTTTTCTTTTTTCCCCCTTTTTGTACTTTCCTCCAAAGGAAGTGTTGTTGTCCAGAAGGAAATTACCGGTTGCTTGAATTAATGACTTGGGCAGGCAGTTTTTCTTGCTGACAGAAAAGCTTCACCTGAATGAGCAAAAGCCTTCTGCCTCTGTGGTGTGTTGTTGTGTTTTTCATTCCCTGCTGCTCTTCGCAGTAGAAACACTCTCTTCCTTCCCGACCGTGTGACATCACTAGCATTTCCTTTAAAATATTGTACCGTACTTGAGGTGACGTCACTACTTTAAATGTCAAGCAAACTTTAAATAGGCACATTTTTCCCAGCCTCTCTTGAATAGTGGTGATGACATGTCATAGTTCGATTTAGTTGTCATGC